TGTTTGTTTAATCCATACATTGATGGAAAATGGTAGAAAAAAATAACTCAAAGATATTAATACGGCAAATAACCAATAGAAAAATAAGAAATTCATTGGTGTTCTCGGGGCCCAGAACCAGTCGATTCATTGTTTCAGCACCAGCTCTGCTATTAAATTTCCTTTGGCTTCTCTTCAGCGTGTGTGTGCTGACTTAACACGAGGTCTTATTACTCTAATGGTTCTTACATAACAGCGTCTTTCTGAGTTCTGTCCCTCCCAAAGCAGTTAAACTGCTGAGCTCTTTCTGGACATGTCGTAAAAAAAAAATGTTTTCAACGTCCTTCATATGCTGCGTGGCAGCTACGTGTGCTTCAGCTCAATTACTTTCTTCTTTGCAGATTAAATTGCATGAAACTCTGGCAACCTGCACGTTGTTTCTCAAGAAACACCAGCACAGCAGATGAAGATGTTGTGGCCAAAGCGTGGCAAAAAGCCCAAGACAATTAATCCCTCGGCTCTGAAGCATCCGAGCGCTTTCCCGTTGAACAAACTGTCATTAAAATGCATTTCTATCACAGTATTAGCTGTCACACTCTGGATGATGCATGGGATCCAATAACCTGTAGTTTAATTTATCAGGAAACCGCTGCATGTGATAGATCAGCGCTCAACACTGCACGGCGTGACACCAAAATTAGCCTGGCTGTCACCTTCACTGATCCATCTATCTCTCAAATTAATTCATTTTGAATCTGATTGGGCGAGTGCGATCAATTGAGACGAATACACAGAAAATAGATATAAATAAAAATAAAATCTCATACACACCGCCTTCTTCTTGACGTCTCTATATAACACTATTACTGCAGAGTGCAATTAACTTGGTGGTGCAGCTTTATGCTTCAGCTTATGAAAAAACGCTCCCAGGTGTAATAATATGAATATTACTGTAATAGTGCAGCTAAAGCACAACGCCCTGCACGATACACCTAAACAAAGAGACTCGCGACGGCCGTCAGATACCTCGGGGTGCAGCGATCACACAGCATACTGTCATGTTTAATTAACTAATAAATGTCCAAGTATTAAAACATTCACAGAGCCTCGGGCTGTATTTAAATCTCAGGAGAGTGCGAGGTGTGTTGCATTATGGGTGCTTTTTTTGTACATAAAAGATGAATCCGCTCCGGATGCTGGAGATGTGAATGGGCTTTACGAGCACTGTAATACTGCTGACAGCATCAGCTGAGTAATTGATTAGTGGACTGGGAGACAGTGAAATATCTCTGCAACTGCTGGACTGACTGTCGACATTCAAAACTGTTTCCTTTACTGTCACTGTGATTTCTGGGTTTTATTCAAAGCGTTCAGAACTTTTTAGGAAAGACTGTCACAAAATTTTGTTGCAAAAACCAACGTCTCT